TCTCTCTCTCTCTCTCTCTCTCTCTCTCTCTCTCTCTCTCTCTTTCTCCTCTCTCTGCTTCTACCATCTTGCAATGTGAGACCCCTGGGTCACTGTTGCCACCACCAGAGGGACTTTGGATTTCCCATCCTCAGAAACTGTAAGCAATGCGTGTCTTTTGTCTTTATAAATGATCCAGTTTCAGGTATTTTTTTATAGCCACACAAGTGGACTTGTACAGCCATGTTGCTGGGTAGTGTCTTTTCACAGCAAAGCAGGATGTCACCCACAGGATAGCAGAAGCACAGAAAGTTAGGGAGAGAGAGAGAGAGCACTTTATGCACTGTCCTTTTAGAGTCCTCATAACCACACCCATGACCACCTTTAGACCATTAACATGCTAATCCATTTACTATGGCGTAATCCTCACAATCTAATCACCTTTTCAAGACCTCACCATTCAATTACCATGATAGGATTTCCCACCCTCTCAATACTGTCACAATGGGGCCCAAGTCTCAGTGAGTTCAGAGGGACATCCAATCCACAGCAGTGACCATCATATATAACCCTTTGAGATTCTCCACTGGGATGATTTCCATTCTTACAAGGCATCCTTGACTATGACAGTGGAGTGTCATCATCAGTCCAGCATAAATCAGCTGACAAATATTAAGGCAAAAAAATGTCTTCAAATCCAAAAACAGAAGGAAACATCTTGATTAACCTTCACATATAGCTTCATTTAGACAAAAAAAATATTTTTATATATGTATAGACAATTATGTATCAAATATATACACACCTATATGTGTAAATGTATATGCAAATTTCCAACAAAATATGTAAATTGACTCTTTTACTCAAACATCATTTAGTTGCAATTTCTTCATAATATCTTCATTAATGGGTTACTAAACATTCATACTGAGGCCATACATTTTATAAGTTATATTTATCTATACATGTAGATGTGGAAATATTGTATTAAACAGAATTTGCACAATAATGATTGGTAACAAACGACTCAAAACTCACTGGTTTATAACACTGAGCATTTATTTTCATGTTCGTGGACGTTCATGTTAACAGTGACTGGCTGGTGCAGGTGCGGCTCAGCTGGGGGTCTCTGCAGCAGGCACTGAGCTTATCTGCAGCCTGTGGATTGCATTTCATCTGAGGCCAAGGCTGAAGGACAGTCACTACTCAGGGTATGACATTCTCACAAGAAGTAGCAGGAGTGAACAGAATCCTCAAAGCAGCTGCACAATAAGGCCAATATTTGATCGTGCTGTTATATATTTTATCTCTTACAATCTAAAAAACATTTTAAAATACAGTTTTTAGTTAATTAGAAAGTAAATATGGGTTTCCTTTTTTTAGCATGAGGCTCACTAAAAAAGTAGATTTTCGTTCAGTGTGTCTCAGGTGATTCTGCTGCTTTGCATCTGTAATACGCTCTCTGTGATGCTGATGATGCTGTTGAAATCCAGATGAAGTTTTAATAGGAAGGAAAATAA